ACCCTAAACCCTACACCTTAGATCCTTCAACCCCAAACCGCATCCCTAGAAAAACCCGAGGAGCCATGACTCCAGCAAGTCGCTCCCGAAACCGCCACGCCTCGGTTTGCGACAAGGGACTGGAATCTGGGAAAGGTTGTTAAGGGTTTAGGGTTTAGGGAAGAGGGTTGAGGGTTTAGGGTTTAGGGATCTAAGGCTTAGGGTTTAAGGATCTAAGGTTTAGGGTTTAGGGTTTAGGGAATCTAGGAAAGGTTGTTGGGGGTTCTGGGTTGAGGGTTTAGGGGCGGAACTTTGGGATTTATACAAATTGTATTAGGGTCAGGAGTTTCGAGCAGGTTGTGATTTGCTTCTGGCCTATGCAACTTGTGCTTACCTGGGCTTGAGATTTGCACACGTGTCTGGGCACCACGAAAGCATAAACATGTAACATTGTCCCTTCCGAGCATTACGTCAAGGCCTCTTCAGGGAAACTTCCATGGAGGGGCAGGTATGATCCCTCTTCAGGGTTGCAAAGGGTTTCTGCAGGGTTTCGTGGCAAAACTGGGTTTTAGGATCTAGGGTTTTGGGGTTTAGGGCGTTAGGGTCTTAGGGTTTTAGCGCTTAGCATTTAGGGCTTAACTTAGGCTTCGCGTTCAGGGAGATGAGGCCTCTGTTTTGAAAGTTATCCATGCAAGCCATGGTGTAGGTTTGGGTCCAGCATTGTCAATAGAAATTGCCCAGCAACTCTCCCCAAATAATCCGATTCCCTCAACTCTAAACCACCAAACCCCTAAACCCTAAACCCTAAACCCTGAACCCTAAACCCTAACCCCGTCTAAGCCTTGAACTCCCTCACCTAAACCCTGAACCCTAAAGCCTAAACCGCTCTTGGACCCTATAGTTGGAGCCTGCACCTCGGCCCCTAAGGCCCAAACCGTCTCCCACGAAACCCAGGACAGTCTTACCCTAAGGGGTCCATGTACCCAATAATTAGGTACTTGGGTTTTGGGTGATAGGAATTATAGTATAGGTTTTGGGTAAGTATATGATTGTTGGGTACTTGGACCCTTTGGGTTAGGTGCTTTAGGGTAGACGATAAGCCACGGTTGAGGGTTCAGGGTTTATAGTCCCCCTTAAGTAGATAGAACATGGCTTCGGGTATAATATACTAAGAGCCCTATATGTCCAATATTCTATCTACTCAATAGGGGAACTATAGGGCGGGTTTAAGGGGGTAGAGCCCTAAACCCTGAACCTTAGATCGCGGCCCAGCAGCTAGGAATGTACCTGCGCCCCAAGTGCTGTCAACGAGCAAGAACTTGTCCCCCAGCCTGAGCACTATTCTTTACTCGAGGATGTGATTCATGTGCGCGGTTTAGGGTTTAGGGTTTAGGGTTGTGGGTGTGCTCTGAAGTGGTTTAGGAGCTCAGGGCTTTCAACATTAGAGCTCCAAGGAATAGAGCGCTTTGGGAAATGCAACTTTCAGCCTTAACCCTTGAAACCCTGAGCCCTAGAACCCTAGACCCTAAATCCTGAATCTGGCAGGGTACCCACCCTAAAATGTTCGACCTTTATTAGGGTTGTATACAACAGGCTTTGTAGCAAGTACCGTTTTGGTCTAAGGTCAGACAGAGGTATGGGCCCCTCATATGGGCCCTCAGATCTTTCAGCCAGATTCTATGGACCCTCAAGGGTACGTACAGGGCATATACTAGGAGGACCCCCCACCCTGTAATAGTGGTATCATAGGAATATAAGAGGAACCTAATATATTCCTTATTATCCATAATTGTCACTATTACTGGGCGGGGGGTCCACCTAAGGTATATAACTGGAAGAAGGGATCCTAGGATTAAGAGCCCATACTAGAGGCCCACTTTGTCAACCTTAGAATTGTATGTACCCTAAACCCTTAGGGTTTAGGGTTCAGGGACTCGACATGAAGACACACGCTTCGGAACCCTGCGGTGAAAGCCTTCAGGCGTGTTCCTTGTGACTGGCCTCTCAAAACAGGGTTCTAAGGATCATATAGGGGCAATATATACGGATCATATAGTGTGTAGGGTTTAGGTGGATACAAAAATGCTGCATGACTCTGAATATCTCACACGTAGGGAATTATGGTATTATGGCATACTTCAGTGATGCAGGAAGTTCAGTATCAACAGCAGGGACGTACAGAAGTTGTCCTTTTGTGAACGTGAATGGCTCGCGACCGTTGCGACATGCCTTGACGCCTACCCTCTCCGAAACAAAAGTGGAACTTGAACTTGGGCCCTACAAAGACTGTCCTTGTAAAGTGATCCTACTCCGGGTGTAACTCACAACCCGTCATAAGGTGCGATAGAGAATGAAATTGAACGGCTCTTGAACTAGGATAGAGAACTCTGACCTCCACAGTGCCGATAGCCTTAAGCATGCACAACCATGCAGAACTGCAATTGCCACTCACCGTTTAGGGTTTAGGGTTTTGCAGTCCATGTTCCCCCTCTCCAAACGAATGGAACGACATAAGCACCTTTTCGAAACAATCTCTTGATTCTTTGTTCGGGTCTTTGTTGGGATATCTGAAATTTGGTAGTTTCCATAAATAGGGGGACCTAATGTAGACCACAAAATACTACAGTCCTTATTCTACGAACCCCCAAAATGGTACCCCTAATCTTGGAAAATCCCTACACCCCCATTCCTTAATTTTGGGAAGCCTCTACACCCCAAACCCTGAACCCTCAACCCCAAACCCTAAGCCCTATATAGCCTCTATATATATATATATATATACATATACATGTATATGTCCCCTATAGTCCTCTTGTCTTTGAGTCTTGGGTGGGAGCGTGAACTGCCAAAGCCCTGTAAACCTGACCCAGCTGCGAAGGCAGCAAGGCAGTCACTAAGCCAACCAGCTCCTACAAGGATACTATAGGGGTTATATGATGCACGGTTTTTCTTTAAGGTCTGGGCAACTGGTCAATGGAAAATTGGTGAG